TTACCAAGCTCTTAACTTTTTTGTGCCGAACATTTTTCTGACATTGACCAAATATAGTTTTTATACTATAGCCAAAGATGGCGACAATAATAGTGATAAAAATGTTAACACAAAAATAAAATATATTTTCCATCCCTAAACGAACCCCAAATTATGAGGAAAAGCATTGTGCCAGAAATCGCCATTGTAAGAAACATCATTTTTTTACTATATTTGGCAGATAAAGACAACAGGCAGTGTTCTAGCTGCAGTATAAATCAGCTTCATTTCTCTATAATAATTCATTATTAAAGCATGACATTGTTATCAATAAAACATTTTTTCTTTGTATTGAAAACAATAACTTTAGGATGCAAAAGAGTTGACAAAAGTGAAAAATTAACCTTGGTAAAATAAAATTCTTAATAAAATAAATTGTTCTAAATATCAAATTACACAATGCTTTTGTTTAAATTCCCAATTCAAATTCCTCAGAAATGAAAAACCTTAATTATAATGTCAAGAAAAAGGTCTGGCTGCCTTTCCTTCTTTAGAAACTACTTTAAATATACAACAAGTTACAGTGGTTGTCAGTTGTTCATGTGGTTCATAAGTGTTTCTCGTTTTTTACATAGATTAAACCGTTGGTTTTCCTGTTTGAATTGTTTAACACTAGTCTTTCTGGGGCCCTTTATAGCTCGCTGTTCGCTGTGAGCCAAGGCTCCAAGTTGAAGGCCGTACTTTGACCTATAATTGTTTACTTTTTACACAATGTGACTTGGATGGAGAGTTGTCTCATTGGCGCTCATACCACATCTTCTTATTTATATATAAAACTATATTCTATACCTTATCCAAATGCCATCCAGAGAACATGCCAGATTTATCATGCCAGACTCTTATCTTGTATGGTTTTCCAATGTCTGTAAAGTTCCTTTTGAAGTAATCAACTTTCCCTTGTTCAAAGTTATCTGTTTTGTTTTCCAACAAAATTTCATCAGATTTTCCTTTTTCACCATATACACAGATGTACACATTTGCATCGGTTCCGGCTAATTTCAGGTCACTAGTGTAAATCCAAATATTCCAAGGCATTTCTAAAATAAAAACAATATATTTATTTTTGAAAGGTCTTTAACAATAAACTTTATAACCGAATATGACTTATCATGTTGCTTAGTCTTTAGTTTTCTCTATAGTGTTATATAACTGTTGTTCTGTTGTTTGTCTTTTTGTCAATTTTTTTTTGTGCCAATTATCGTTGGTTTCTGATTTTTGATTTTTCCTTTGTTATCTTATGCCTTTTTTTTCTGCCCATGAGAATAGAAACATCTAGCAGATAATTCAGAACTGCAACTATAACAAACTGCAGTGAGTTGTGAGCTTTACAATGATATATCATTATTGGTAGAATAGTACTAATATGAAAATCCACATACAATTAAAATATCTGACTTACTACCAAATGATTTTTAAAACAAGTGACTATTATAGTTTCCTTCATAAAGTTTCCATTAAAACCCACTTTAAATGTAACCCCCTTCACCCTCCAATAAAAAAAAATCAAAATTATAACTCAAAGATGTATTAGCAAAGCTGACTTAACTTCTATCTTGTGACTTTTTGAAAAAATAAAAAATAATCTTATGAAATGGCCAAATTCTTTTAAGTTTAACAAAAAACCCACAATATTTTTCATACTAACTTTTCTCTCTCTGTTTCCGTACAGCTTTCTGTTCAAAAAGTGTCCTCTGTATCAACCCATCTTCCTGATCTGTAGCCAGCCATTTGTTACAAAGAAACACTTGTTCTAATCCCGTAGCATAACATAACACGACAATTTTGTCCACAAACCAGCCAGCAGCCACTCCCTTATTGTCGTGGCCGATTTCTATTTTTGTCAACGGACTTAACAATGTAGCCACATCAATATCAAATATATCAGTTTTGTTTCTCTCAAAGCTGCCACCATCCAGCCATATTTTACCACTGTTTTTCTCCTTGCTTTCTTTCCCAGCATGCAATATAATGAAAACACGAGCATCAGTTCCTGCATTTCTCTCATCACCAGTAGACACAGTAATTCTATAAGGAATACCTATATAATATACAATTAATATAGTTAACTAGGATCTGAAAAGATGTTTTCTTGCCTTTTTGTGTTGCTGGTTTGCTGTTTCATTGATGTTTAACCCACATTTTCTTTTGTTAGTACCAAATTATAGTGTGGGAAGTTTTATCCCTTTGCAAAAATGCTTTTTATGTGGTACATCCTCTTCAAGTTCTGCAAGTTTGAGACACATCAAAATGAAAGTGACTTAATTTTCGTTGATTCTAACACTTTTAAAAGAATCAGAATTATAAATTTTCAAATTTCTTTCAATAGTAAATACAAAGATAAATTTTCATTCATTTAAAGACAAGACCACAAGTAAACATTGTTTGACAAGGGAAGCAATTCTTTGACAATAACCTACCTGGGGCAGATGTGGTTGCTCCCTTTCCCACCAACAGATCTCTTGATATCTGTCCATCATCTTCATCAGTGGCAAACCAACGGTTACATGGAAACTCATACACAATATTGTTCTGACAGTCATCTACAATCACCTATTAATAGAAAATAAAATTTGTTAATAGTTTTAAGTTCAAGATTACTTTTCGTCTACATGGATAATGAAAAAATATCAAACAATTGTAATCAAGTTCTGGCAAAAATAAAGCCTGATACATCATTGTTTTTTAACAATATTTCAGGCATCTATTTTCCCAAGTTGGAGAGCCATCAAACCATTAATCCAAACCTTTATTTTGTGTTATTATATAATGTGCTAAAATTTTGGACTGGATGCCTAAAACAATTGTTTTACCATATTGTCTACAGGCTAAAGACCCTTCATGTATCCACATAATTTTGTCATCAATTGAAAATGTGACCATACATCATAATGAATGCATCTTACAACAATCTTCCAGGACTGTTCAGATAAAATCAAACCTGAATGCAAATGAATAGGTCATGGTGACCTACTTTTGCCACATGATACTTCTTATACATTTTGTATGTTGAGTGACTCACCAGGTGGGTCAAATGTCTTTTCTTTTTGGGTAAGAATGTAGTATAATTAAGAAATAATTATTTTCATCTTTTTTATATGCTAACTTTCTATGCTTGTTCCTTCAAATCTGGAAGGAGACCCTGTCCAAAAGCCACCCTTTTCTTTAATATCATCCTCCCCAATGAGATAATTATAAGAAACATAAATTAATAAATCATTTGATTTGATTTGATTTTTGGTGTTTTAACGCCACTTTTAAGCACCGCTTTTGGGCTATTTCGTGGCGCCAGTTTTTATTGGTGGAGGAAGCCTGAGTGCCCGGAGAAAACCACTGACCTTCGATAGGAAAACTGACAATCCTAGTCAATTAAGATTGGAGTCAAGTGCACCCGCACAAGCGGGGTTCGAACTCACAACCTCAGTGTTGACTGGCTAGTGATTGCAGTAGTAACTACTTAGACCACTCTGCCAACGAGGCCCCACATGCTCAATGTTATAAATAATATATACGACAGATTACATGTATTGTAGAAAAGATAAGAATGTTAATTTAAAATATTATTTTATTATTATTATATATCAACTATCAAATGATTTATTTTTCTTACATAAAACCAACTACTAATACAAAACTGATGATTTCATTGAAATGAAATTTTGTTTCACATGATTGACATAATTTGCCTTCAATCATGTTAATTTCGTCTTCTTTGTAGTGAATATCATACATATTATCTATCAAATTTTGTATAACAAAGTTATTCATACAAAATTTCCCCGCAGTACAATTAGACTTTGATTATCTCCTTCTCAGAACCTCTTGAAGGTTAACAGGTAGACTTGCTTTTTTCCAATTTAGATTTTTTAAGTATAAATTTAAAATTTTACAAGCTCCATGTAATAAATTGGTATACTGACAGATAATATGTATTGTAGAAAAGATAAGAATGTCTAATCCATTTTCCTCTGAGCAAATAAAACATAACAAGACACAGCTTTTATAAAAACATAAAAACAGAAATATTTGGGTGTCAAATTATTATATTTTCTCATCTGAAAACAGTTTATTTTCACAGCTACAATAAAAGAAATATCACAGAAAACTGACCCTTCCCAAAATAAACAACATGCTTGTCTAATGATCGGGAAGATAAACATTTGAACATATCATTAGTTGATACAATAAGATAAGACTGGTCTAAAGACTTCATTGGACACCCTTGTATTCTGATAAACCCTCCCAGGTTCACTGCCATTCAATTAACTACTAATTAGTGCAGCCCACTCAACAATAATTGTTAATAATTTGAAAAATTACTTCCTATAGTGAAAACTAGATTTTGTAGAAGTTTGGTCAATGTTTCTTGTAACTGACATTCTTATGTTTATAGATTGGTCTTTTGGCATTAAATATTAAAATGTTCTATTTTATAGAATTTCAATTTAATCATAAAATAAATGTACATGTTTAAGAATTTCAATTTAATCATAAAATAAATGTACATGTTTAAGAATTTCACTTAACTTCTTAATGACATAAAGAAAGAACATTTGAAAAAAAGTAAATAATAGAAAACCTTTTCACTGTATTGATGTATTGATGAGACTTTAACGTAAATATATTTCACTATAGGAGATGACTCTAAACAAAATCTTTAAAAACAAATTCCTGCAAAGTCATGGAAATTAAAAAAAAAAAACACATGATAACTAGATGTATTAAATAAAGTATTCAAACCTCTCTAAAAAAATATTTTATTTTTAGAAAGTACATCTGTTTTCATTTAAAAAAAAACTGAAAGTGCCACTTTTTAAGGATTATAAACAATACAATTAAAACACACCATTAACCTCGTATTGTATTCCTTTTTTCCTACTCTTGGAAAGGTGACAAAGCTATTAGCTTGAGAGAAGATCATAGGGAGCACCTCCCCATGTCTTAATAGCTTCTGGCAATAGATTACACACTGTAGACAAAGACTTCCCTCTAATATAAACATGTGTAAACAAGATCTTAACTTGATGAAAACCAAATCATATAGGTATAAGTGATGACAGGATTTCAGTAGAACATTTAAAGATAGCTGATAATCGGAAGTGAAATGAACAAGCAGAAATGAACATTAAGTTGAAATCTACACTCCTGTTTAGATGACAGTGATATGAAACAATTCTCAGAACTTTATTATAAGAGATATGTAGTCTAATCTAATTGAAAGTTGGTTTCTTGATGAATTATGTAATGTTTGTAATTGAGCAATCTTGTGACTGAGGAAGAAATTAATGAAAATTTTCTGGAGATATAAATAGAGATTACAAGTATGACCAGCTATTATTCCTGAAGGATTTTTTACTTAACAGCTACATTTCTAAACTTATACAATTGTTATATTAAGAACAAAATGGAATTAGAAGTTTTTTCATGCAATGGAATTTATAAAATTATTTTCCTGATGTCATGGATTATATTTGTGAATGGAGCACCTCAGTTAGAGACAAATGTCCAGGAGTCGTGTGTTCTAAGTTTAACTATTCCTAAGGACAGCATAAAAAGTAGTTGTAATATGAATGATCAAGTTGTACGAAAGATGCATTCCATGGAATCTCAGTTTAATCATTTTCGGACTAAACTAGGTGCTTTGGAGATTCGACTACCAGAAATTGTGTTAAATTCAAATCGTTATGGAGACAAAGTTGAACAGCTTGAGTTAGTTATTGCTAAAGAGTCAACCTATTATAAACACATGGACGAGAGAATAAAAGCTTTAGAGGAAAGGGTGGTCAAGGACAGGGAAAGCAATTCTGAAAAACACATTACTGAACCAGACACCCTACTTGACCCAATACGACCTTTAGTTATGGCTGAACTTCAACAAATGAAGGAAGACTTGAGGAGAGATCTAACTGAGGAAATAAGAAAAGAAAAAGAAAAAGAAGAACAAATTTCCAAAGAAACACTTATTTCTTCTATCAAACCTATGCTTTTGGCCGAGATGCAGTATGTTAAGGAAGAAATACTTAAAAGTATGAAAAACATGATGTCAATCAAAATTTTGGATCAAACCGAGGAAATTGGTTCCTCAGATGAAATTGAAAATCACATTGTTGAAGATGTAGTACAACCTGAAAATCACCTTAATATGGTGTCTGACCAAAGTGTTACTAAAGATGATGAGCCTTTACTTAAGGATATGGCTCGGACCTTGCACAACCTTGATGAGGGCAATGTTACCATTTTATCTAATAAAAAAGATATCGAACAGTTGGAAAATCTTACCAAAGATATTGAATTTGTTGCTAAAACCAATGATAACTTTTCTGAGAAGTCAGAAATTCTGACAGAAACCTTACAGAAAACTATTGAAATTTTACAAAATGTTGCAAAAAACAATTTGGCAAAAGACCTTGATGAAAAAATTGACAAATTGAGTACTGAAATGGAAATCAAACTGAAATCTATTACCAATAAATGCAATGAAATATGTTTGGCCAAAGAGGTCAGATCAAGTGAGTTGGAGGACAGAATTGATGAAATATCACAAAACTTTACAGTACAAAATGAGAAAGTTGAAGAATATGTCAAAAAGTTGAACTTATCTGATGATTTACGTAAGATAAACACATCACTATCCAATGCTAAACTTGAAATGCAATCAATGGACAGACGAATTGACAGTTATACAAATGATATATACCTGGATACTAAAATTCAAACCAAAGTGGAAACTATTAAATCCAGTTTACAGTTATCTCTCATGGGTATTCAGTCAAACCTTGCTTCATATGAAAACAAACTGTCACATCTAGAAAGACAGAATAACCTATCCTCGACATTACTCAATCACTTCAAGAAAACACTGATACATAATCATAATCAAACTGATGTCAACTTTGAAAACGTCAAATCTGAAATAACAGAAATAGAGAATCGTCTAAAGGAAGAAATGACGCAGAAAATAAACACGGAAAATTTGGAGTCTCGGCTAGAAGGACTTGAGACAGAATTCATGTTCTTTAAAAGCAGAGTGACCACCTTGCAGAAAAATTCAACAATTGGTGACAATAAACTTGATATCAAACTTGCTGAACTTAACTCAAAAACACAGAGCATTGATTGGCAGCTTACTTCACTACATGATCATGCACAGCGAATTCTGGAAATTGAACGAAATCAAACTTTGATGAAAAATAACTATGACCTTATGCGAGAGGTGATGAAACTTATTCACTTGGAGCAAAAACTCAGACACAATCGTTGGATTGAGTTTAATTTCACTCACCATTCATTGAAAAATGCTTGCCACAAAAAACAATATGTGAAACGCAATCCAATATCCAAGAATGGACTTGGAGCTTATGTTGGAGTCCAACTGTGCACACCAACAAGATACAAATTATTTTTGGGAAATTCCCTGGATGAAGAATTTCTGGACATTGGTGACCAATATGGCCATGGACAGGATCATTGCCAATTCATTGGAGGAGAATCTGAGAATGGTGTGACCGTTGATACAGAATTCCCATCAGCTATGGGAATGAAAGGTAAATAAACCATTTTTGTGGTGTTGGTTTGCTGTCTCAATGACATTTACCTCCAACTCTTTTTATTCATATTTTAAGCAATGGAAATAACAGTCATACATTTTCATTAGCTTATTAGTACTGGGTACAACTTAATTTTTAAAGTATTTTCTTAAATATGTATTTATATTTATCATGTCCATATTTTTCATTCATTTCTTTTTTATCATATCTATATCTGTTCTGCTTTGAATGTGTTTCTAAACTCTTTTTCTTGGTCGTTTTGTTTAATGACATTTTCCATGGAAAAAATACTTCCTTTTTTTTTTATTTTCATTTCATTAGAACAATCCATCTCCTTTTCTGGTTTTTAATCATTGCTAGAATTTAGATCAAGCTCTTATAACTGCTAATCTAGACTTGATACATGTCCCTTCCTAGTTCCCTTTTGTCAATTTTACCCCTTTAACAATTTTACTGCTATAACAAAGAGATTGCCATTATCTCCAAGGGCAATCAGTATACTGGGGCATTCAGTATCATGGCAGATTTCAGTAAACATATAAATTAGTAAGAAAGAAATAAAAGAAAGAGAATTGTAGAAAGTCTACTACTAATCCCTTACTTATTAATTTTCAATTCTCCCAAAACCACAACACAGAGATTGATAATTTTTGCACCTAAGAAATAAAGACCTTGACAGAAAACAGAACCAGGTCTTGTTATTAATTTATAATATGTAAAACATAGATAAACATAGATATAACAGTAATTAGGGAACATATTAAATCTCTTCGCCTGCTCTCTGTGGTTGACCTTGGATTGACCTTAATGCATGTAATCAGTGTTGCTATCAAATTCTATAATATGATATTACTTAAGTACCTATCAGCTCCCAATAGGTTCTTCATGGCAGATAAATAGAATCAATTATTAGATATTATCAAGAATTTCTGTGGCATATAACAACCTTGCACATGTTGTCATAATTAAAATACTTAACCTTGGATGTTTTTTTTTAATTTTTCATGCTTTAATATATGTTTTTTTTTCAAAGGAAGATTCACTTAACATGAAGTGTTTGATATTTTAGGTCCATAATAATACATGTTTTCAATATTTAGTTCTTTCTACCTGTACATTTCAATTAATTTACTTTTTTACATAGAATTCAAATCAGGTAAGATTGTTTACCCTTTAAAAAACAAGTTTAGAAAGGTAGTTTATTTTTTTACTTAGACAGTCACATTTTCCCAATGTTTCCCTTTCTTAACCATTTATATTCTTAATGAATTTTTCCACTATTTTGGGTGTGAGGTACTAATATAAATAGTAAGATTTAACAGTAAGAACTCAGGAGTAACATGAGTATCTATAATACAAGATGTTCCAAAGGTAAGGGTTGAAATTACCAATATTGCGTAAAAGTTGTTTTTCATCTGTTTCTTACATTATACTGTATGTTATCAGTAGTCCTGACATACAATTTAACAAAAACATACATAGATCTCAATACATGTATTTCAAAAGAAAAAGAGAGAGATGCTAATACATTTTGCATGGTCCCTTAAATTGCACTTCGTTCAGTCACAAAATTATTTTGCATGAATAAGCACTATTACTTTTAGTCAGAGGAAGATAAAATGAAAACAACTTCTTTTCATGACGCCTTGATATGGATCTAACCAAGTCAACCTCATAAAGGTCAACCTCATAAAGGTTAACCTCATTAAGGTTATGAATTGTGAGAAGAGGTATTATCAGAGTTTTCTACATCGATCCTGGAATTGAAATGTTGGTATAGACACAAGAAGGAGCAACACAACTTATCATTCTACTAAACTAACAAATAATATTGAAACCAGGAAGTAATATACAACTGTTAATCAATGTATTACAAAAGAGATTCTAACCTTATAATATACAATACAGGAATTATGATCTTTATACTGACTTTACAAGATGAACAATCAAATACTTTATACTTCACAAACTTTCTGGTGATGGAAAACAATGATACTACATATAATTATATAATTGATAAATTGTCTCTAAAACTGAAACTTGTCTAAGGTTCTATACTTTTCATCTGCTGTTTGTCCAAGTGTCCTCAAAAAGTGAATTTTTAAAAAAATGTATGCAGTTGTATTTTTGACTGACTGTTTAATGGCTACTTAATAAAAAGTGAATTTTGATAAAAAGTATATTTTCAACATATGAGAACCATGTACCGTTTGTGCTAAGCCATTTAGATAAACAGAAAGCATCATATAATAAAGGATTATTTTCATCACTGGATATTCTTGCTAAGTATTTCAGTGATTGTATTTGAATAAAAACATCTATGGGATACTGGGCTAGTTCTGCTGGCAGCTTAATAAAAAGTATGCTGATGCATTTTTGATTGACTGTTTAATGGCTGCTTAATAAAAAGTGAATTTTCATAAAAAGTATGCCGAGTTTAATGGCTGCTTAATAAAAAGTGTGAATTTTCATAAAAAGTATGCTGAGTTTAATGGCTGCTTAATAAAAAGTGAATTTTCATAAAAAGTATGCAGATGCATTTTTGATTGACAGTTTAATGACTGCTTAATAAAAAGTGAATTTTTATAAAAAGTATGCAGAGTTTAATGGCTGCTTAATAAAAAGTGAATTTTCATAAAAAAGTATGCAGATGCATTTTTGACTGACTGTTTAATGGCTGCTTAATAAAAAGTGAATTTTCATAAAAAGTATGCTGAGTTTAATGGCTGCTTAATAAAAAGTGAATTTTCATAAAAAGTATGCTGAGTTTAATGGCTGCTTAATAAAAAGTGAATTTTCATAAAAAGTATGCTGAGTTTAATGGCTGCTTAATAAAAAGTGAATTTTCATAAAAAGTATGCTGAGTTTAATGGCTGCTTAATAAAAAGTATGCAGATACATTTTTGATTGACTGTTTAATGACTGCTTAATAAAAAAATAATTTTCATAAAAAGTATGCAGATGCATTTTTGATTGTCTGTTTAATGGCTGCTTAATAAAAAAATAATTTTCATAAAAAGTATGCAGATGCATTTTTGATTGTCTGTTTAATGGCTGCTTAATGTATTGCAGCAATTCAGATCCATTTACAATTAAAAATTAGAAATATAAATCAAATAAGCAAACCTGAATTTATTTTTTAATCAAAAGCTTAATAAAACAAAAGTCACCAGCTGAGAAAGAAAATCATTTTTGAAATGTACTGCAGATAGTTTTATGGTATGAAATTGGATAATTATTTAAGACTTTAAAAATTTGTAAGGTACTAGTATATAACAATTTTTGTTCTGATGAAAGATCAGTTTGGTTAACGACAACAAGACATTTACTTTTACAACTATCTTTTTTCAGCATTCATGAGAAGACAATGGGACGAGAAGCCACATTTAGGATTCCTTTCCTTCATGACACCGACACCGAGCTGGTATGAATGTGGTATGTCTTTACCATAGTAGTGTGTATCTGTAGGATTTGGACAAAAATTCCAGAGATCAAAACTTTTGGAAAGTGCTTAAATACAGTGAAACATGTCAAGTGAACAAAGTTTGATGGAATAAAACTATGTGACTTTATGGAATTGTGTAAAACACGATAATTACATTCTGAGTGCTAAAGTTTACGACAAATTATAAAACACTGGCTGTACTTTTATCATTATTTGACTTTGAATGAAATAATATTGAAAATGAGTTAAATGTTGTACTTTATACTTATTGTATCTTTTTGTGAAGAGGGAGGGGCATGAAACTTCAATCTGTTTTATCCTATGGAAAATGTTAATAGCAATATATATTACATTACATATCAAATTTGTCATTTACTGAATATTGGGGTTTTAGAAAATCAAAAAAACTGTTAAAATTTATTCACATAATCACAAGAACAAATGATGACAACTTCTTGGTCACATTAATCCAATTTTTTTATTTCATTATAAGTTTATGTATATATTGCTGCAATTTGGCCCAAACATCTGGGGTCAACCTAGCTCGAATTTCAGTTACACATTATTTAAGGTTTAGTATATATGCAAGGACACCAATGACCGAATTGTTTCATCTGATTTAATAAAATACAATAATCGTTGGGTATGTTTGGTGTGAGGTAGAAGATAACAGAATAAATTGGTCAAACTGTCATGCAATGTTAGGGGTCTACAAATTGCACAATTCAATTAGGAATAATTTTAAGATAAGAAAAATTTAACTGGTAATAAATGTCTGCTTTCAGTGCATTGTAATTTCTTGAAAATATAAATAGTTCAATGCACTTTACTGAAATGTTACATCTGTTTCAATGTTGATGGATAAAGGAAAGATGAATGATGAACTACCAGTGATGATGGATAAAGAAAGGATTATTTGTAAATAAGATTGATAGTCTGACAACACTGCTTGTATGCTACCTGTTTTGTTTTATAAAAGATATAAATTGTTATATTATAATTAGAATTGATGTATATAATTATAAAACAATCTTTTTTAAATTGATATTTTGTTTCACTTCCTGGTGTTGGCATTTAATTCTACTGTCTGTTACAGCCCACACTTTATATATATATCTACACAAAAAAGTGCAAAACAATTAATCTTTAGAATCATCATTCTGAACTGATTGTCACTGAACCATATTTCATCTTCAAAATTTTCAAAGAGCAAACCTAGCTATCAAGAATTTTTATTTAAAATCCTGCATTACATTTTGCAACAAGAAAAAATTGCAATTGAAATCATTTCTTATTACTTCTACTGCAGTATATTCTTTAAATAAATCAATTACTTTCAAAAGCAAATAATTACTTTAACCAGGTTTTTTCCCAACCCAGGATAAAGGGGGGGGGGGGGGGGGGGGGGGGGGGGGGGGGGGTGTTCCAACTATATGTCCCCATTCAAATGCATTGATCGTCAAAAAAAAAGAGGAAAAAAAAGGGGGGTTCCAACCCCCCAGAACCCCTTCCCCTGGATCCGCCACTGAATCTTCAGACATACAAGCAGATGTCATCCACATTATTCAAACTCAGTTTTTTCAGATATCCCAATATTCTCCATCTACTGTGGATTCATTATTATTCATTGGGTACCAATTATCATGAATTTCTTGGATAGGGGCAAACCACAAATTTAAATGTTCAACAAAGTTTGAATTTCATATAGGCTTGAATGGAAACGTTGGCAAAACCATGAAAATACAAATTTCTTCAATCCATGAAAATTGGAAAGAACGAAAATAAATGAATCTACAGTACTATAGAACTGACTATCACTAGGTAGTTAACTTAAATTTAAGGAGAAATGCAATAACTCTAAAAATACAGTGCCTGCTACATATGGTTTCAAAATCATCTTAATATTTCATACAAAAAATTTGTCACAGTAGATTCCTCCTTTGGATCCATCACCTCTATGATGAAAAAGATGCTGTGTAATTATCAACGAGACAGTAAGCTAACTTCTGTCAGTCCAGAGTTATGCCCCTTTAATTTCACCAGTTCATTATAATGAACATCTAGAGGTCCTAATAATGTAATATCAATGGACAAGCACCCATCTCATATGTGGTATTGCCTTGAGTCAGGACAAACTGAATTTATTCCTCAGAACACCAAAATTCTGATCATGCTGATAGCAGTTGAAAAATATTATTAGAAATCATATCAAAACAACAAATCAGACAAAACAAACACAACCTTTAATAGAGTGCACTGAAAAAACATTTTTCAAAACAGATTAGTTCTTTGTTCCTTCTACAAGGAGCAAAACCCATACATACTGTATAGTATAAAATATGATCATGTGGTATGATTTCTAATTTTCCACAAATAATAAAGGTGTTGATGGTTTTTGTGGTAACTCTGTTGCACTAACAAATATTTTTGGTAATTCCTAGTATCCTTGTTATGTATCATGCTTTTAAGCAACTCAAATAGTTCATCCAGATGCAATAATGGGCAATCCTTGAATCATGAAAAGTACTAGTTACTATTTCTTATCATAGCTTAGTACTAACCTTGTCTGAATACCATCCTGCCTTGAATCCAGTATTGTCATGTCCTATAGATAACTGAGTACAAACCTTGTCTAAATACCATCCAGCCTTAAATCCAGTATTGTCATGTCCAACCTATAGATGACTGAGTACAAACCTTGTCTAAATACCATCCAGCCTTAAATCCAGTTGTGTCATGTCCTATAGATGATTGAGTACTAACCTTGTCTAAATACCATCCAGCCTTAAATCCAGTATTGTCATGTCCTATAGATGACTGAGTACAAACCTTGTCTAAATACCATCCAGCCTTAAATCCAGTATTGTCATGTCCTATAGATGATTGAGTACTAACCTTGTCTAATTGTCTAAATACCATCCTGCCTTGAATCTAGTATTGTCATGTCCTATAAATAACTGAGTACAAACCTTGTCTAAATACCATCCTGCCTTAAATCCAGTATTGTCATGTCCTATAGATGATTGAGTACAAAACTTGTCTAAATACCATCCAGCCTTAAATCCAGTATTGTCATGTCCTATAGATGATTGAGTACAAACTTTGTCTAAATACCATCCTGCCTTAAACCCAGTATTGTCATGTCCTATAGATGACTGAGTACATACCTTGTCTAAATACCATCCTGCCTTGAATCTAGTATTGTCATGTCCTATAAATAACTGAGTACAAACCTTGTCTAAATACCATCCTGCCTTAAATCCAGTATTGTCATGTCCTATAGATGATTGAGTACAAAACTTGTCTAAATACCATCCAGCCTTAAATCCAGTATTGTCATGTCCTATAGATGATTGAGTACAAACTTTGTCTAAATACCATCCTGCCTTAAACCCAGTATTGTCATGTCCTATAGATGACTGAGTACATACCTTGTCTAAATACCATCCAGCCTTAAATCCAGTATTGTCATGTCCAATTCGGAGTCTTTCTATTCTTCCTAAACATGGAGTTTTCAAAACAAATTCATTTTTACTGGAAAATAAGAAAACAAATTATAATGATACACAGAACACATAATTGAATCAAAATAAAAAAGGTATTAGAAATAATTAGAGATTTCTCATCCCCTTGAAATTGATTATATTTCATTTAAATATACAGTTAACTCTCGTTGTCTCGAACTCGGTTGACTCGAAATTTCGGATGAGTCGAAGTTTTCCCTTGGCTCTGAACTTTGTTCCATATAAATGTATGTAGTTCGACTCCTGATGATTCGAAATTGGATGAGTCGAAATTTCAGTTGACTCGAACTAAATTTACGGTCCCATGGTTAACAAAAGCATTCAAAATTCATTATTTATCTCAAACTAATACACATATGTCAAAGCATGACCTCGGGGATTAAAATGGATTGAAGAGTTAATCTGATAATACACGTGTAATTACATTTCCGGTCACTGACCACTGTGAAAAGGATTGAAATAAAAGAAAACGAAAAGAAATGTAAATTTTCTAAATTTCTTGTATACGAGAATGAACAATTTTGTCAACTTTAAATAACGCTTATATCGATTTGAAATTACTCTCTCAGCTAAAAAATCACCGGACAAAATTGTAACTGTACATAGAAATAAATAAATAAGATATGAAAAATGTTATAATAAAAGACCATAACATACAGATACATCGATTTGAGACCATAATATCGATCTCCTACCCATATTCATTCAGAATTATTTTAGCTTTACCAAGCTAAGCACGAGTTGTGTCCCTTGGTCTGTCAAACTTCCGGTTTTCGTTTGAGTCGAACTACGGTTATCTCGAAATATTCCTCTGGTCCGGTGGACTTCGAGATAATGAGAGTCACCTGTATTTGTTATCTATTTTTCAAAACAAAAATATGAAAAAATAATTTTCTTCGTTTTTGGAAATATGACTGTTTAGTGGATATCTAAATTATGGTTCTATACTTTGCACAAAACAAATCAATTGATAACTGCATGATTATTCAATTATCCACAAGATCTACAAAAATAAGTACCATACACATACAAATAAATTTACAATAATTTCAAATTGTTTTATCTCTGAATGCCTATTATTAGGTGCTAAAGCACATTTGAGGTACTGTTGATTCATTTATGTACCAATTTTTGTGGATTGCAGAAAAATGGTATTTCAGGGATAATTGATTAGGTGGTTTTGCAAAATAGTTTGTATACAAGCCTAGTCATTTTATAATTTGTTGAACATTTAAATTAGTGGTTTCCCATAAACCACGAAATCAACTAAAAATTGATTCCCCACAAATAATACTGAATCCACAGTATTCAATATCAATAATTTTGGCACACAAATCAAAACTTATGCAGAATGTTATTTTGAACTTTGATTTTGGGAACTTTTATAGCTATATCATAACTGTAATGTTTGAATAATAATACATAAAGCAGCAGATTTTGTGTGTTTAATTCCTAGGATATTATATTGACTTTTTGATTATACAAGGAACATCTGCAAACGTTTTATGATGGCAAGATTTACAGGTTGTAAGTCTGGGAATTTTAAATAAAAGAATAATACTTAACATTTTTTTAACTTACTATCATGATGTTTGGAAGATGTACCACTTGTATATCTTATAATTTAAAGCTAAGAATGTTGAGAAAAATCCACAAATAGAATAGTTTCAACAGTCTTACAGGACACTATAAAAAGGGAGATAACTCTATTTAACATAAACAAACCTATTTCTTTTGAAGGCTTTCTTCAGAAAATTTTCTCCTGAGTCTCCCATTTCGCCAAACAATGTAACATATACATTAGCATCTGTGCCAGCTCCTGGCTTGTCACCAGTAAATAATGTAACATTGTACTTATAATCTGTCAAAAAACAAACAGTGGTAAATATAGTAACAGTATGAATATGATAAACTGGTGACAACAAATTGTGAATTAAATTGTTTTTTTTCAGTCCAAGGCCTTTTTTAAATTTTATGTCAGTTTTTGACATCTGCAAACCTGCCAACTATCCCGATTTATGGAGGATATCCCCCATGAGAGGTGTTGACCTGAATTTTGAAATTCTTTATAACATAAACTGAACACCTCAAAACAGGCATTCAAATGAGCCAAAAGGGTATTTAACCACATATATATTCATTTAAACAATATAGTAGTAGATTAAAAACAATTATGACAACATAAGAGGAGCATTAGGTCCTCTTGCGTTTAAAACCCCCCATGGAGATTTTGAAAAGTTAGCAGGTAACTTTAAATTTTCAGCTCTGATTGTTACTGATATAGCTTAATCAAGAAACAAACCATATACATTCATTTATTCATTAATGCAGACATAGATGATTTGGTCATACTGTGGATTCATTTATTTTTGTGGGTACCAATTTTTGTGGATTGAGAGAAAATTGTATTTTTATGGTTTTGCCAAAGTATGCATACGTTGAACATCTTAATTCATGGTTAATCTTTACCAATAATATCCACAAAAACTGGTATCCCACAAATATTGATGAATCCAGTAGC